CCACCCTGAGACCCCTGCACGTTGAGACCTGGCGCGCCAACAATGGAAAAACCCTGGACACCGCCCCGAAATGCTTCCGGGAAGGCCAAGTGGAGGCTGACGATACCGGATGTTTTCCGAAAGTTTCGGGAAGCAGGTATTGCAAGGGACCAAAGCGCCGAATATTGCGCACACGGGGGGGATCTCTGTGTCTCTGTAGACTTCCCTCCCAGCAGACCACAGGCATTGCGTTGGGCCCCTGCTCTCCTGCGGGCAACCCCACCGTGCGCGGTTGTCGGGGAGAGCGCGCGGACGGTTCATCACAGTGGAGACTCGAACATTAGACGAGTCGAAGGCGGAGGAGAGGGATTTGATTTGATATGCAATTATAACGCGGGTAGTAAGGACGCGCGCCTTTTCTAGGGTACCCGTGTGTCCTTTCCTCTGCGGCCCGTCCTTGACCGTTTTCATTGGTCGCCCGCCGCCCAACAAATCCCAACTTCGGCCCCAAGGGTCTTGCGGCTTGCGTCCTTGCCACCCGTCCTCAATATACGGTTTGACTGTGGATGGCGCTGGTGGTCGTGTGGGTTATATGTAGTGAGCTCTGGCGTATAATGGGGGTTCGATGTGCGTTGTTTCATGGCTCCACCTCTTTTCCTGCTGTCCCAGGTTTCTCAAATCCGCGACGGCGTTTCTGGGAGTGACTCGGAGTCCTTCCCGGAGCAGCGTTACAGGAGTGTGAACAGGCGAAGGGTCCCAGTGAAATTTGTCCAAGGAGCCCGTCGGCTCCCAAATCTAAAGATGACCAGCATTAACAATAATCTAATCCCCCCTCAGAGACTATCACAGATCTATCCGCTCGAAAATTTAGCATAAAGATGGGGTTTTGAGCTCCAGTCGTATTCGGAGGGATCTGGGGTCGGGTTTGAGAGGTTTCTGAAGGGTTTTCGCCTAGATTTCCAACGAGTTGGCAACAAATATGTCGGAGTTTTGTTCGCCGTCTTCGGCCCCTGGGGGCCCTCGCAGGGCTCCCTGGCCGTCAAGAAGCGTCCCACGATGAAAGGCCGGCCCTTGGGAAAAGGGTCGGGACCTGCGGGGGGCCCGTAATTCAACATCAAAGCGTCGGATGTCTGGGGGGTCTTCGGAGGTGCTCGGAGGTTTTCGGAAGGGGTTCTGTGGTACTCGGAGGTGTCTGGGGGTTGTCGTCCTGTCGAACAGATATCTCTGAGTTTGTCTGAGTTCTCCTGCGTAGCTTCTTTGGAGGCTTCCTATTGCATTCGAGACCCCAGGCGTTTGTTTTAAGTTGCGGCGTGTTTTTTGTCGATGCATGTTGTTTTATTTTATTCCGTGCCCGAGGCCATCAAAAGTGGATCTGAAATGATTTCTAGGGCAGCGCCCAGGGTCGCATATTGATAACATCCGATCGTTCGACGTCTGGGGTTCCGAAGGCTTCGTATGCGTCTTGTAGTTTTCATGTTTTCCATCGGCTCCGAAGGCTCATCTGGTCGTTTTGAGGTTTTCGGGCATTTCAGTTTTCATATGTCTGTGATATCGAAGGGCTTTGTATGTCTTCTGCGGTTTGAGGCGGTATTCGGTACGTTTTGGTGGTCTTGGCCGGTGATCCCTTCGAAGGTGTTCGAGGATCTGGGGGACGGGACGGGGTCCAGCTCCTCTGTCTCGCTCCAGAGGCCCAGGGGGCCCAGGAAACCCTATGGCCCTTGGCTATGTGCTAGAAGATGTTCGGCGTTTTTGTTGTGCGCCTCTTGCGCTGGAGGCCTCCCCAGGCCTCTGGGGGCCCTCGCAGCCTTCGGATGGGGCGGGGCGGGGCAGGCTCGGGAATCGATGGTGGAGGGAGGACGAGGATCGATGAGGAGTAGCGAGGAGGAGGAGCGAGGACGAGGAGCGCGGAGGAGGCGGGAGGAGGAGGAGCAAGGAGGAGGAGGAGGAGGAGGAGGAGGAGGAGGAGGAGGAGGAGGAGCGATGATGAGGAGCGAGGAGGAGGGGTGAGACGAGGAGGAGGAGAGGAGGACGACGAGGAGCGATGAGAAGGAGGAGGAGGAAGAGGAGGCGGAGGAGGAGGAGGAGGAGGACTAAGAGGAGAGGAGAAGGAGGAGGAGGAGCAAAAGGGAGGAGGAGGAGGAGAAGGAAGAGGAGAGGAGGACGTGGAGGAGGAGGAGGAGCAGGAGGAGGAGGAGGAGGAAGAGGACGAGCAGGAGCAGGAGGAGGAGGAGGAGGAGGAGCAGGAGGAGGAGGAGGAGCAGGAGAAGAAGTAGGAGGAGGAGGCAGGAGAGAGGAGGAGTAGGAGGAGGAGGCAGGAGGGAGGGGGAAGGAGGGATCGGGGAGGACGACGAGGAGGCGGAGGAGGAGGGAGGAGGGATCTCGCTTGTGGATCTCGGAGGAGGGAGGAGTGGGGAGAATGGGGAGGAGGAGGAGGAGGGGGAGTGGGGCCATAGCTGACCAGCAGCTTTGCGCCCTCGGTAAACCCTGCACTCCCCCCACACGTACAGGACATTGGTACTTACATCGATTATGGAATGGGTTAGTGCAGAGCATCCTAAGCACAGTCGGCATCGCACGGCGTCAACACAGGTCTCTCTTTAGTGTGGTCACCATCGTTAATAGCAGCACCACGGATGTCTATCCTACCCTACCACTTCCTCCTTCTCAGATGACGTGTGATGATAAGGGTGACGATGATAATGAGGAGGAGCAGGAGGAGCAGGAGGACGAGGACAATGGAGGATGATGTTGGATGATGCGTGTGCTGGTGATAATGGTGGTTAGGATATTGATGCTGATTATGATACTGGTAATGTTGACGATGACGACGATGACAATGATGATGATGTTGCTGCTGATGATGATGATGATGATGATGATGATGCTGATGCTGCTGCTGATGATGATGAGGCTTATGGTGATGATGCTGCTGCTGATGATGATGATGATGATGCTGATGATCCTGAGGAGGCTGCTGATGATAATGATGATGGTGCTGACGATGCTGATGATGCTAATGATGGTGAGGATGAAGAAGAGTATGAGGATGGTGATGCTGCTGCTGACGATGACGATGTTGATGCGGATGCTGGCCATGATGCTGATGGTTATGGTGATGGTGCTGATGGTGGTGATGCAGCTGATGCTGCAGATTATGATGCTACTGCGAATGACGACAATGATGATGATGATGATGATGATGCTGATGCCGATGATGATGCTGCCGCTGATGGTGATGATGCTGCTGATGCTGATAATGATGCTGGCGGTGGTGGTGATGATGCTGCTGGTGATGATGAGGTTGATGAGGCTGCGGCTGCTGCTGATGATGATGCAGATAATGCCGACGATGATGCTGATGATGGTGCTGATGATGCTGATGATGATGCTGATGATGATACTGATGCTGCTGCTGCTGTTGATTATAATGATGAGGAGGAAGATAAGGTGGATGAGGAGGAGGAGGAGAAGGAGGAGGGTCATGTGGAAGAGGACGTCGAGGAGGGGAGGATGTGGATAAGGATCGCCGTTTCCTTGTCGTCGTCGTCGCTGTAACCTTGTCGGAGGTCGACTTGCGGACGCCGCCATTCCCCGAGATCTCCCGACAGGGGCGCATTGCGGCCCGCGCCCTCCTGAGGCATGCCGCGAGTTCCGCGTGCAGGCGACGGAGCTCGCGGAGCTGGAGCACTCCGCGGCGTCTGCCGCGAGGCCTCAGCCCCCCCCCCTGGATTCGGACCTCCTCGGGTACTCTGCCCTCCCCGATCCTGGCCGAGGGTCCAAGATCTCCGACGACGTGTTTTTTCAAACTTGACGTTCTTTCTCGACTTCGGCCTCTGGGGCACGTTGCTGGGACCCAGGACTGCAAGAAACGCATCCGGTACGAAACACTGTTCCTGGGTAAGCGGTCGGGAGCCCTGGGGCCGCGGCCTGAAACAACAAACATCCCGGCGCATGTCAGGGGTTGTGGCGATGGGTTGTGGCCGAAGGTCTTGAGCAAGGCCGAGGCGGCCAACAGGCAGGGCACCCAGCGGAGTCCCCAACCCCCTATTTGAGCCACGTTATCCTCGCGTTGTGGATTGGCATTCTGTTTATCGTTCTCCACCCTTTGCCTTGCCCCCTCATCCCTTTGCTCCCCCCCTGGCCCCCCCCCCACCCGGATTTTCCATCTCTTGCCCTCCCTCCTCTCCCCCCTCCTCTTCCAATCCTCTGGCTCCACCTTTGCTTCCTCCCCGTCCTCCCCCTCCTCCTCACCCTCCTCCTCCCCCTCCTACCTCCTCGTATGGCCCAGGCGTTGCGAAAGGTGCTGGCCCTCCCTTTCTCATCCTCTTCCCTACGTGGGTCCCCCGCACGCCTGCATGGCCCACCCGAGGAACTTGCGACTTGCGGAGAATTCTCTTTCCCTGCCGATGGTCCCTGGGGACCCTGGGGAATTCTGAGGTGACTCGCGAAGCCCCAAGATCTACGAGCATGCTCCTCCTGGACTTTTTGTGCCAAGCCTCCCGTCTGTCATCGCTGGAACATGCCAGTCGACAAGTCCGTGCCGACTTCTTGTATAGCAAGTTTTTTCATTCGCTTCTATCTACTGTGCGGCAGGTTCGCCTGCGGGATTGAAAGAACCATATCATCGTATGTCTGGATCTTTCTGCCGAGCCACTGTCGGCCTGGCTGGGACGGCGGCGGCGAGGCGGAGAGGGGGTGGGGGGGCGGCGGCGAGGGCCTAATGTGGGGCGCACTTTGGGCTTCATCGGGCTTCTCTGAGGCCCGACGGCGCGAAAACAATGGAAACATCGTGCACAATCACGACCAGAGCCCTAGACCCGATCTTTCTGCTGGATTTTCCGAGCTGGATCGATCTGTGAGGGTCCTGTGGCCAGAAGCCTGGCGAAGACCACCGCATCGAAACAGCCATTGAGACGCCGGGATCTCAAGGTCAACAGCTTAGAGGCCTCCAAGGAGTTGCCCCCTCTCAGGGCAGCGACGGCGGCGACGGCGCCGCCGCCCATCTGGGCGCAGGGCGGCCTCGGGGCCCCCGCCCGCGCCGCGCCCGCCGGAGGGCCGGCCGTGCCCGGGGCGGCCCCTCGCACCCCTGCCGCGGCCGCGCGGGCTCGGCGCTCCGAAGGCGCGGAGGCGATGCTCGCAGGCGTCTTCTCGCCCCCGACCCCGGGCTTTCCCAAGCAAGGAGCGCAAGCTGCTCAGAAACGGAGTCCGAGTTGGGCCCTAGTTTTCTGTTCCACTCGAGAATCCCACGAAGTCGAGGATAGGGGTCGGCATATCCCTTGCCAGGTACGGTCAGGATCAGTCCCCCCCTCCCCAAGCCCTCCCTCCTGCGTTGGGTTCTCGTATTGAATAGAGCACTGCGGTCGCACACCTTCCTTCCTTCCCGCCCGCCTCCCTCTTAGCCTCGCTCCTTCCTGCATGCCAGCTTGCCTCCTGCCGTGTTATCCCTGGGGGGCTGCGATCTCTGAAACTGTCGCCACTTGCGAGGGCTGCTGGGGGGTCCAGCGGAGTGACGTCCTACCCAGATTTAAACGAGACCTCGCCATCCCTGGGGGGCTGCGATCTGCGAAGCTGTCGCCACTTCCGAGGGCTGCTGGGGGGTCCAGCGGAGTGGGCTGCGATCCGCGGAACCGTCGCCACTTTCGAGGGCTGGATTTCCTGGCCCGCGGGCCGCCCGCAGACCTGGCGGCGCGCCTTCGAGCGTTTAGCTCCCGCATTGAAAAGGTGCAGGAAGGAAACAGAGAAGCTGGCGGGCGAGCTAGGCCTCGCTCGCTTCTTGCCCTACCTATAAGCAGGTTCGATCATTTGTGCGAGCGCCGCGGCGACATGGCGAGGGCAGCGCTGCATCTTTAGCGTACTACCGACAAAAGCAGCACTCTTCGGTCTCTTCCCGTCACTTTCGGCGTCGTCCTCTGCCCCCGGCCACCTTCCCCCTGCTGCTGCCGCGCTGTTGGTTCGGCCCCCCGCGCGTCCTTCTCCTGTCCTTCGTTCCCGCCCCCATGTCCTCCTCAAGCCTGGGCCCTCGCTCCTCGTCCTTCTGCTGTTGTCCTGTATCGTGCCGCGTGAACGCGTCCCATGTAGCACGCAAAACATACAACGGCGCCTGCACGAACATTGTCTTGGCAAGTTTGGGCCAACCCCTCTTGTCACTTGATGCGAGTGGGTTGGGTGCGTCGCAGAGTATTGTTTTTTTTTTTGTTTCTCTCTCTCTCTCTCTCTCTTTCTCCCCATGCTCTCCGGGGAAGTTCGGAGGAGGAAACAGTACCGATGCGGCTGCCCTTGCCTCGTTCTCGTTTTTCTGGCCTCCTGGGATTCCTTCGCCGCCGCGGCTAGTCTGGTCAGATACACCCAGAGAGGAGATCTGGGGAGCAGCGGACTTTAAGGGTAGGTCTTTGGGAGATGTTATAGTATCGGGAGTATAGCTCGCGCGCCGTTGCCTTTGGCTCAAGGCACGCGCGCCCTATTTGCCCGGACACCGCGAGTGTTCGCTATGTGCTGGAAAGATCACTACATCGATACTATCCTATCTTATTCGTCCATTCCTCTTACTGAACAACCTCAGTACGATACCGGACGCTATTTGCCATCCGCTTCCCATGGAATCGGATGCTATTTGAGTTACCAGGCTCACTTTCGACTTGGTAGCGGAGCTGGCCGCACTCTCGTGTGGTCAGCTCTTGCTCTTCTCATCCTCATACTCTTCGGCACGATCCTCGTGACCACCTACCACCCTGCGCTATCACTCCCAGTACGTTTACGATGATCTATCCAAGAGCAAGAAGCAACACGGGAGGTACGACGTCTAGACAACAACATTGGTACCATATACACTTCATCATTGCGCTACTACCAACCGCTCGGCAACGAGCCAAAAGCGCAATACTTGAAGCATGGGCGGAGAGATCCGCCAGATAGAGCGCCTCGACGACTCGACAAGGCGCTACCCCAGCGCGGCGACGCGCCGAATAACCACCCCTACCTACAGAGCCTTGGGCTGGTTATCTTCGCTATCATATGGTTCGCGCTGGGGGCAGCAATCGGACACATGCGCCGCGGAGAAAACAGCACCTATGGGCAAACACATGGCCCATACTGGGACCCTCAAGGCAACGTACCTTTCCGTGAGTACGTTTATGAGGTCAACGCGTGGCTTAACGTCACTAGCGGACGTATGACGCCACAGGCCCAAGCGGCCGCCATGCAACGCGGCCTAGGTGGCCTAGCGAGGACACTCGCCATGAGGGTGCCGCCTGACATTATAAACTATGGTGCTGACATCGATGGGGTCCACACAGACCCAGCGACCTACATCATGTTCCTCCTAAGCATGAAGTTCGAGCGCCTGGAAGATGAGCGCCAGCTCGCTTCTGGCACACAGCTCATCGACTTCCATGTGCCTCACGGAGAACGAATCGATGTCACTCTAACCCGAATCGAAATGGCCCGACTTGAGGCACAGTCGGTGGGACTCGACCTTCCCAACTTCCAGTTTCTAACCACGATCCGGTTCCGCGCCTTAGGCGTCGGCAGACAGCGAGCCATGCAACTCCTACAGCCACTCAATCATCAAATGCCCCGAACTCAACAACAATATTATGAGTTGCTGGAGAGGATGCGTTCGATAGGCCACCTATCAGAACGGTCTCCTGGCAATATAGGATCTGTGTTTGGAAGGGGAAGAGGATCTGGTAGTGGAAATTGCTACACTACTCTACCACTTATGCCCAGCCTGGAAACGGGCCCTCAAGCATATGGGCCGATGATCCCGGAGAATCGACTGCTTTATTAGCAGGGGATCGACCACAACCAAGCTGGGCAACCAGCCCTCCTTCCAGAGAGCCTCAACCACACCGTTCTTTGTCGGGTGAATCAAACCCCCTTACCGACGGTGTGTCCACCTACTTGGGAGACGATGATTTCGACTCCGGCACCGACACTGATACTGCATCATCCGACGGTGTTGAAGCTTTAGATTGGTCAGATATTATGAATATGGAAATTGACAATCAACGTGCTGAACACCTATTTTTGTTATTACAACAGGCTAAACGGAGGTGGGGGAGGTTCACACGAAAACCAGTGCGTCGTGTTAGGGGGAGGACACGGAGGAGCTTCAAAGGAAAAGGTAAAGGCAAGCGGGGTCGTCGGAGGTTGAACGGACGAGGCATCGCGGCATTCCTCCAGAGGCTCTCAGATGAACAGTATGATGAGATATTCATCGGGGGAAAGGGCCGCGGCAAAGGCCGTAGAGAGACCTCAGGAAAAGGCAGAGGTAGGCGGGGAAGCCCGCGAGGTAGAGACGGCCAGGTTCTAAAGTGCCATGAGTGTGATAGTACCGACCATCTTGTGAGAGACTGTCCAGCGAAGGGAAATGGTAAGGGCAGATCGACCGAAGTCCATTTTGGCTCAAGTGAACCATTCATCGAATATCTGAGCCTCCAGGATTTGAGGCCATGGAACAGATGCACTTGGGTCAGTTGCATGGACAACGTCGACGAGCTCGAGGCGTATGGTCATGGATTGTACGCGTATTACCTCGAGTACGTCCGCAGGTTCGTTGTTGGCAACAACGAGCTCACTCCCGTGGATCACGGTACGCTGGGAAACCAGCCTTTGCCTTTCTTCGACTGGATGTTCGGGAACCCAGGCAACATCATGGCCTACGAAAGCAGTGACGAGGACATCACTGTTGAGGCCTCGCCTTCCGAGGTTGAACGCAACCTCCAACCTCCACCTGAACTCCCGCCTGGAAACATGCCTACCTATCCCCGAAATAATGATGAACTTATAGAAATGGAGTCTCAAGCGTTCGTTCAAGCTTTCATTGCAGGTGAACCAGAGATCCCATTTGTACCCCCTGGTTCGCTTGCTCCAGGCGAGTACGGACCACGCGCACTACTGCAAACCCTCATGAGGATGCACGAGGTATTGGCCATCGCATATCCCGAGAGTCAAGAAAGCATCGAAGCTGGCATCATGATGCAGCAGGACACCGACGCCTGCGATGACTCGGAGTTCGTGTTGGCAGCCTTGACCCTCATCGACAGCGCGCCCCCTGAGGACGCGCAGAGGCATGTGATGTACTCCCGAGGGAGATGGCGCGATGCCCTTGAAAGGGCCATCGCCATGCGCGGTCAGGCTCTTCCTCCGCCAGGACGGGGTCTCCAGGCGGTGGGACTATGGCCAAATAACACGGCCATGCGCAACATTGCTGGGCAGCCTGTGCTCGGCAACGAGCCTGAACCGACAGCCGCGCCGCCTACCCCGGGACAGCCGAGCGACGCACAGATGCCGGCTATGCAGGGAAACCTGCCTGTCCCGGCTGCGCCAATGGCCATCATCATTGGTAGTTCTACATCAGAAGAAGAAGAAGAAGGCGATGGTTGCGGGCTAGACGAGGATGAAGTCACAATCCTCAGGATGGAAGTTAACGGTGAGGTAGAGGTTGACTTTGATCCTGACGAGCCCGAAGCACCATCACCATCGGCACAAGCGCCATTTGCGCCGAGCTCCAGCCAGCAGGGAAACCTGTCTTTACCAGACGATCCACCTGGGATCGCACAGGAGCCTCCGCCGGCGCCTCCGCCGGCTTCTACTCAGGCTGCTTCGGCAGCCTCTTCTGATGAGAATGCTGGAAGGTCTCGTTCCCGTCCGCGCGTCAGAGGAGAGCCACATCCTCAGGCTCGGCTTCCCCGTGAGTGAAGGCAAGCTGGCCCAAAGGAACGCGCTCTCAGGCGAGGAGGCGAACTACTGCCGCACAATGATCCAGGACGCCGTAAAGGGGAACATTCGGCCTTCGGCAAGGGCAACCCTGCCTATAGGGACGCTCAGGGTAAGGCCATCCGCGGAGGCTATCAAATGGCAGCAAACATCCGCCGCCCTGAAATTGAAGTCTGAAGAAGTGCGGACGCAGTTGCGAAACGTTATCGCGGCTCGCAAGTTGTATAGGCCTCAAGCAGCGCGTGGGCCATGTTCCCAGCCGTTCCAGAACCACAGGCTGGGATGCCCTGTAGGAAACAATGAAGGTCTGAGCCCAAACAGGGACCAAACCCCTTCATAAGGAGGGCGTCCATCCGCCACTGATCCCGATGACACAGGACGA